CAGGATGGGGGCGGGGCTAGGGCGGGGCTCCTCCCGTCCTCTTTTTTGATTGTTGAAATATGGTAACCCTAGGTGAACCAGGATCTTAGGAGCTGAGTCTTACTCTTGAATTCTGTTCCTTCTTTCTTAATGTATCAAAGAACATAACCCAAAGGTTGGCCACGATTTGTTAGGAGAGTCGGTATAACCCCCTTGCTCACTCCCCATATTCTGAGAAGGATTCACAGCAACAATTTTCCCTTCAAAACCTGAAGCTGCCACACTTTTGAAAAGGGGGAAAGAAGCACAATCTGTGGTTTCATATCAACATTTGAAAACTGTATATCCATTTATTAGCCGCCCATGCCAACCATTCACACAGGTGGAGGTAGCCCTGGGTGATGCTTCTTTAACAGGAGAACGGATGGCATGGAAGAGTGACTTACACATAATGGCCAACAGAAACCCACCCCAGAGGCGAATACATCTCAGCACTGGGGGAAGCAACCCCTCACAGAGACCATGCGTCATGGGGGTTTGGGATACTGCTGGTGAACATGGTGAGGGGAAAGTGAGGGGCTAATACGGCAGCGTGGGGATTCTCAGCCACTCTGGGCACTGCCTGGGCAGAAAGACCCAGTCAGAGAGTGAACCCTCATCCTGTGCCCCCTGAGGAAAAGAAAAGGGTCCAGCCAACTGTCCTGTGAACAGCTGGGAGACACCTTTCCCCCCCACAACGGGGAAGCCTCTGGCTTTGATGTGTATTAAATACGGGACAAGTCACTTTCTTCAGCAAACATTTGAATGGAGATAAAGAAATGAGTATCAAATGAGACGGGAAAGTTGACCATTTAAACCCCTGCAACTGCCAAGATGGAGAATGGCTCAAGGCAACAAATTCCCTCCAAAACAGGAGAACTTGCTGCAACTAAACAGGGGAACATCTCGAAACCCACGATGCTTTTTAACAGACATTTGATAATTACTCAGAAAAAGGCAAAATCTGACAGCTGATATCAATGTTCAGTCTTTAAAGAGAGAGAGAGGGGTGGAAATCTGGAGAAAGTGATCATTTAACTATCAACTCAAGAAAGGGAGCTGCATGTTGCTGTAGCCAGCTCAATGACAAACTGCACTCAGTGCACAGCTGTCATCACAATGGGGGAAAATCTGAGGACGAGACTAGAGGAAGGGTCAATAATTGGAGAGAAAAGGAGAGAAACCTGACTGGATTTTAAGTATTGCGGGTAGCCGTGTTAGTCTGTATCCACAAAAACAACAAAGAGTCCGGTGGCGCCTTAAAGATTTATTTGGGCGTAAGCTTTCGTGGGTAAAAAACCCACTTCTTCAGATGCCACCGGATTCCTTGCTGACTGGATTTTATATCCCGTCGGTGACAATCGGGGAGACGTGGGGGAGAATTTTATCACTCTCGGAGTCAGACGTGACACGACAGCCGTGCCTCTAAAAGGTGAGCAGTGTCGCCCCTCTTTGGCGGCAGGAGAGACTCTCCCGCCGACAAAATAAATCCACCCCCAGCC